GGGTCATAACATTTTTAAAAGTATAGAATTGTAGGGTTTAGGGTTTTAAAAATTCTTAATTTGTAACATTTTTGAAAATAAACAATTCATTGTGCCATTTTTGCAAAAAGCTAATTCAAAAGTGGCATTTTTTAAAATTTTCCTTAATTTTATAACATAAGTCTATTAATACATGTTTTACATATTAACGTCTAACTAAATGTAATTTTTTCGACTTACCATATCATCTTAGTGATATAAAAAAACTTAAAATTTTTTTTATTAAAAATAAATAATATAATTATTATAATTTATAAATACCTATTATCTATTGTATATTTATGTAATGGAGATTAGTATAAATTTAGTATAAAATGTTTTTAATATTTTTTATGTATTTAATATTTATTTAAGAAAAATTAACTAAAATAAATAATATTTAAAAGATCTGGATCCATTTTTAAGGGATCCGTGATTTTACAATTCGGATCCGACCGCCGGATATCCAGCGTTTTGGAGCGGATCCCTGAAAACAATTCCATAAATATTGATACTAATTTTTTATTTTGAAAAAAATATATATATTGATACTACCTTCTAGATGGCAATAAGTTAGCACTAAGAGATTTTGATGCATGTCAAAAAAGAGATTTTGATGCAACTAAATAACTCATAAAATTAGAAGGTTTATTGTATTTAAAAGTGAACACTGAACAACCCTAGAAAACAATATGGAAATCTATGCAAAGGAACCCTATTTCAGAGATAACTTGAAACAAATTTAAGAAACCAGAAAAGAAGATACCAATTATGTGAATCCTCTCCAGCGATATTTGCTACTTGTTTGAGAGCTTGGATCCACCTTTGTTTCTCATCCTCTGTTTTGCCCTCGCAGGTCTTATCAAAGGCCTTTCCAAACTCTCCGGTCTGTTTTCTGACATGAGAAGGATCAACATCGTCGTAGAAAACCGGAATCACCATTTGATTCATCTTCTTAAAGCACTCGTGGATCTTCGCCAATTCAGTCAAACACCATGTAGAAGAAGCATAATTCTTAGAGAGCACGACGATCGAAATCCTCGATTCTCTAATCGCCGATAAAAGCTCGTCCTCGATCAGGTGACTTCTCTCGATGCCGTTGTCTATGAATGTATTGACTGATTTGCCTCGAAGCTTCTCGAGAAGGTGGCTGATGAACGATTTGCGGACATCTTCTCCTCTGAAGCTCGGAAAAACATCGTATTTCCAGGTGCG